TCAACAACACACAATTAAAGTGAAGTAAAAAGCGACAAGCAAAGACTCAGTTGAGTCATCGTGCATTCAGTGGGCGAAAGGCCATGCCTTAAAATGTATGCAGAATCAAGGAGCGATGGAGGGTATGGCTTTGCGATTTGAGCTGAGCTACCATATTTTGATGGCTCGTCTACGCCCCTCAAATTAAGGTTGAACAGTTGTGTTCTCTGCATTTCGTTTAAGGTGATGCTATGAGTAGAGCTGATGCTTCCAATTCAGCGCGATAACTGGTGATTAACCCTAATCCTTTATTAGTGCCCATAAAAAGTGACAATTTCACACATTTAGAACAAGCAATTGGGCCATATAATGAGAATGCAAAATCTGATTGCGATTAATTCAGATAAATCTCCCAATACTACTCATAAAAACAATGATGATGCGAATAATGGTAACAGGGTTGGTGTTAAATGAGGCAAAAATCCTTATTTAACTTGCTTGCATGATTGCCGGAGGCGGAAGGAAATCAGAGCGAAGTCGAAGGAAGGCGAGGAGCCGATCTGCGTTGAGTAGTCCAAGAGGATTGCCAGTTGCTCTGGGAACCTCATCCACAGATTGGGTGTCCATATCACCATCTGAAGGTGAGATTAGTGATGTTAAGTTGAGAAAAAGTCAGAATGAAAACTTATGATATTCCAGCTTGCAATGATGGCATGAAACCAGGATGAATCATTTTAAATAAACTCATTGGGTTAGTTCACAAGGAAAAGATCTCTCGCAAGGTGTGTTTTGCTGCAGTCTTGATATCATTTTCGGCAGCGAAAAAGTAGCTCTCTCTTTGAGAGGATAAATAGTAATGCATCGCACGAATGTAGAAAAGCTGATCAGATTGCAGCCTGATCCGAATCAAGAGTCCTCCCTCAGAGGCCGTAGACCGTAGGTTTGAGGCGATTGAAATGATGGCGTCGCGATCTTGCTTCACGACGTATGATCCAGAGGACCCGACCTCGGATCGGTTGGTGGGACGGAGGAAAAAAGGAGTACTGCAAAGGCAGATTGGACCCAAAAGTGTGCATAAAGTTGATGTGGGGGTGAAGGGGCGGCTGAAGCAGAGGGGAGCCGAGAGAGCGAGAGGGTGTGCTTCAGAGTGAAATAGCAAGCAAAAGGAGCCATGATCAACTGTTGCATGCGGCCGCAACGCAGAGATGTAACGTTCACTCAACGTCGGTCACAACAGTGTCACCTTTCTTGGCTTTGTGGCGGTTAGTGTTCATGCATGGTAGGTTCAGAAGCAAGCAGTAAAAGATTGTAAATAAAATTTACAGTCATCATTTGGTCGCATAAGTCGGTGCTAATGTTAATTGTTGAGCTTACTTCCATTTCGAGTGAAAGTGTTCAGTGAAGAGGTCCAAAGGTCGGTTCCTTCAGAAGACGACAGCGTGTTCCTCTTGACCAGCTGACGATTGGCTTTACTGGAACATTCTTGTTGATACGTTTTCCGAGGCAATCTCCTTCGATTCCGGTGAAAACGTGCTAAGCTTTCGTGCGTCGTGTGAAGAATATCTTCAAAGTATGGAATCATCGTTACAGCCAAATTGAAGCTAACGAGTCAAGAAAACCCATTAGAGCATCCCTAAAAAGCGACTGAATTAGTCTTTCCTTGTCTCGTTTCTAGTCATAGTCACTTCTCTGTACTTTTGGCACACTCTTTCTCTCTCACAAAAAGACAAAAAAAACTCATCAACATAACCAGACGAGTGTCCGAACTTGCACAATCGGAGTGATGATCATAACATGTTTGCAGAAAGAGGGAGATAGGGGTTGAGCTAATGAAGTTGGGTTTCGAGGAATCTCTTGTTGCATAATTGTTGAGCTTACTTCTTGTCTTGGTTCTAATCAGTCCCTTCTCTGTATCCTTTACTCACCCTTTCTCTCTCATTAAGACCAAAAGAAAAAAAGGGCTCATCAACAAAACCAGACGAATGTCCGACCTTGCGAAATTGGAGTGATGGTTCTAATTTAAATGTAGAAAGGAGGAGATAAAGTCATCAAACCTTAATGGACAAAAGCAGATGTTCCTTTTTGTTGTCCTTATTACTTTGATCCGTCACTGCGGGTTTCGTACATAAGCGAACACAAACATGCACATACAAATACAGAGACAGACACACTCACATGCATCGAAGTTGACATATGATCACTTTATGTCTAATCAAAGAGGCCAGATTTAGAGTGTATATACCACTTTTTAGGGATTTGCCGGTGACTTTTCTTGATTTATTAGCTTGAATTTGGTTGTGACGATGTGATCTCGTTCTGATGATGTCCGTCACTTGTATCACTTATCGGCACTGTCAGTGCAGAGGACTGTAGACAAGATGTCTTCGTCCAAGTCGTACTGACAACACGGCCAAGTTGTGAAGCGAGGTTAATCTTTGTTTTGGTCCTCATACCTTCGATTGAACATTATCAATCGAAAGACATCGCTCAGCATCGTTCAGCCTCAAAGGAGAACAAGTTGCAAAAAAGAATAAAGACTTAATCCCCAGCTCATATGTGCAACTCCTTTTGACCCGCTACTTACGCATACATGGTGGAGTGTTAGTTGTTACATTAACACAATAAACCATGAAGCTGATAATGTCAGACCGAAATTATGGGTGTCAAAATAAGTACACTTACGAAAAAACCTCCTACTGATAGATGATGTGTAAAATGAAGAAGCAAAGATGACGAATATTTGCTGGATTTTGGAAGACAGTGGCCAGTATTGTAGAGAATATGAAGGAAGGTATGAAGACCAAGATGGTGTGGCCTTTTGTGTGGTCGCAGTCTCCTTTTATTTTATAGAGGTTGTTTGACCTTGTTTTCGCAACTCGGTCATGTTGGTAGGAAGACTTATAGAAACGCAACTAATCCGGAGTCCATTGTATGCATCATCATTTCAAAAGTTGAACCGTGGACGTGGTACATTCCAAAACGTCTATGGTTCAACTTTGGAAATGATGATGCATACAATGGACTCTGGATTAGTTGCGTACCTATAAGTCTTCCTACCAACATGACCGAGTTGCGAAAACAAGGTCAAACAACCTCAATATAAGGGAACTTTGCATGAAAGCATGATGGGCGGTTGTTTGGGAAACGTCCCGACTCAAGTCTACCCAATAAATGATGTTCCTCTCAGATTCCACCTTGACTACAGCTGCATATCTTGGCTAAATGGAAAAAAAAGGCTCTTTTCAGTCTCCACCCGCTATGTTAGTACCGTATTTCCCCATGTATTAGCCACTCCCCAATTTGTTAAGTGTGAAGTTTTGAAAAAATATTTTATTAGTTTAAACAATTCACCAATAAAGAAAAGTTACAGACAAACAAAATTCAAGACTCATAATAATCGCTTATACACTCATCATGACTGTCTGATGCATCAAGAATAGTGACAACCGCCTCACATTGCTCGTCTTCTTCAATATCACTGGCATCGAATTTAGCCAACAGTTCTTCCTCGTCTGCATCATCTTCATCGCCATCTTCATTCATCAAGTGATCTTCTAAACCATCAAGACAATTAGAGATTCCACATTTGTTAAAGGCTTTGACAATGATCTCGATCTTCACACTGTC